ATAATTTTACCTATGTATCTCCTCATTTGTCAACCAATGCTCACCCCATTTATGTATGGATTTAATTTGCCAAAGATAAGGCACTCATTTAAAAGGCTACTTTTTAAAAGAAAATAAATCACTTTGTTTAGCAAGAGACTGTTTTAGAGCACCTCTACTCTGTGGGAGAGTGATATTTAGCAATCATCTCATAGACATATTTTATTCATTTCTTGATACATACAGCAAAAGCTCTTTACAGACTCAAATTTCCTCTTATCTCCTTTAATGAAATGTTAATGGTACTATTCTTGCAAACAAAACATTTATGGGTATGCATGCAATGGGTTTGTTAAAATAAGAATTTATTTAGAAAACTCCACTGATGTATGGATTTAATTTGCAAAAGGAAAGGTAATCATGTAAAGGACTTCTGTTTACCAGAAAATACATCTCCTTGTTCAATATCTTTCCTGTGTGGTAGAATAGCATTCAGCAATTATCTTATAGTTTGTGGACATGGTATGAAGAAAATGTATGCTGACTTCACATATTTGCATTAACATGATCTATTGTTTCATTTTGAATTTTTTTTTAAATCAACTTTTAACATGTAATATCCTGTTTTCTAGTGATATTATTTATTTTTTCAGTGAAAGCAAATGTTATTATTCTTGCAAACAAAATATTATATTAAACACATATAAGTATAAATAGATGTTTTAAAATTTTGTCCTCTATGGAATTCCAATGTCATTGCTATATATCATAGTGGTGTTTATAGCACGACAGACACCAACCAGCAACCACCTTACAGCCACAGATGGAAGCTGGATGGAGGTGTGGAATATTACATTGAGCCCAGTTGGACCAAAAGTCTTCTTCCATGGTTTCAAAAAACTCCTTCCACTCCTACATTTTTGATTTAGAACTTTTGTTAGAACTGGACACTGCTTGGCTTGCCAGAAACATTCTGCTGCCTCAGAAGTCTAACAGACTCAATTCAGTATACACTATCTGGTTTGGAGATTACCACCACTACAGGCAGAAACTACCTTGCAGCCACAATTTTGTGCAGCTACTTGAACATTGCATGTGTAGAATATGGTCCACTCTGAGTCAATGTCCTCAGCTTTCCTTGGAAAATTGTTGAAGTTCTGCTGCAGGTGGGAGTCAAAGATGTCACAGGCCTTTTGTTATACACGAAACAAAATAAAGACGAGAAGTAACAAGGGCAAAACTAAACTAAGACCTAAACTGGAGAAAACTACAATTGACTATGACAACTATGAAGATGGTGTGGAGCAGGAACACGAGTGAAGCTCTGAAGTATAAACATGAACCAGAAACATGAACATGCCCTGAACCGAAAGATGACTTGACGAGGAAGTTTACTTTTATTTGTTTAATTGTTTACTAAATGATTGAGGTGTAAAATAAACTGCAGTGGAGTTTGAAAACAAAATATGGTTGTGTGTGGTTGGAGGATGTGTTTGTGCCGGGGGAGGTGCAAAGATTTTTCTTGGAAAACAAAGGAGGGCCTAGCGAAAAAAAGTTTAACCACTGACATAGAATAACCTAAACTAGACTTAAAACTCCAGGCAACCTGATAATACTACAAGAACTTAAAATCCTTTCAATATACCTAAGAAATCACAAATATAACAATAAACTCAAAATGCTTGGTCACAGACCAAGCCGCTGACATAGTGTTTCTGTGCTCAGTCTCCCTTTTGTGTTTCCATGTTGCTCTTCTTGTGTTTCATCTCATCTCCCCATTTGTCTCCCTGTTTATCCCTGCTGCTGTGTCTTGCCCGTGAGTCCTGCGGTGTCATGTTCATTTGTATTAGCTGTGTTCCCTGTGTATTTCCACTTCCATTGTCACCCTTGT